TATACCGAATTACTGTTACTTTATTGAAACTTTAGAAAAATCATTTAAGGTACAAAGCATTTTGAAAAAAACTGACTCGAAAAGACAATTAAGTCATTCTACAAATATTTATTAAAGGCCTACCGTGTGCCGGTCACTGGAAATAGAGTACTGAACAAAACGGTTCCCCGCAACTCGAACAAAAGGAATGGCCTATTGTACTTTAAATGTTCCCTTGCCAAAATAAAAGGCGTGCTACAGCAGCTGTCCAGAGAGGACCTCATGCCAGTCAGGCCCCGTTTTAAATATAGAAAACTCCAAAAATAGCCACCATGTCCAGAGTCAACAGGTGACTGGCCCCACAAGAGGGGAGGGGAACCTAGACCTCGGCGAAGGAGAGCAGAAGGACAGTGTCGCCGTCCCCAGCTCCTCTCGCTGCGATGGCTCTGCCTCTGCGGTCCCTGAGCCGCGGCTTGGCGAGCACGGCCAAGGGAGGCCACGGAGGGGCAGGAGGTGAGTGCGGCCGGGGCTGACCCTGCGGCTTCCTGACCTTGCCCGCCTGTTCCCTTCCACCCCTACCCCCGCCCCGCCTGCCTCCGGGGTCCGGCGACACCCCCCAGCGGCCTCCCCGGCCGNGGGGGCGGGGCGGGTCCCTCGGCGCATGCGCACGGCGCGCTCGGGCTCCACGTGCTCCTCCCAAGTCGCTGATGTGGGAGGTGCTCGAGGGAACCTCCTTTAGGAACAGGTGGGAGATCCCCGCTCCCCATCTCGCCTATTAATAATTAGGACTTTAGGCCATAAAGGGCTTTTACCTACACGGAATCCTCACTAACTCTGGGAGCAAGGTATCATTTTGGTTCTCCTTCTCCAGAGGAGGAATTAAATGACTTGTCTGAGTTCGGGCCACTCGTCAGAGGCTCTGGGGGAAGCCAGGGCTGCAGGCCCCGAACTAGCTGTTCTCGCCTGACACACGCTTCCTGGACCGACTACATCCGAGAATTCCTGCTCTCTGGAGATAACCCTGATTTTAAACATGGGCTCTGCAGTCTTATGTGTGAGGACTCATGACCTAACTCTGGGTTTGCAATATTTTGGTCATTCTCTATAATCTTTATTGGGTTTTCTGTATTAGTTTAGGAAATCAGATGCTCTTTTCTGGAAGCCTGGCTCTCCTGGCTTCTGGGAACCCCATTTAAGAAGCATATTGGTTCGAATGAGCTCTGAACATAACATTCACCTCCTAGGCCAGTCTTCTCACTTGTCATTACTAAGGAACCTGAAGCCTGTGCTGAAACCCATGACCAACACACACACACACACATTCTTCCTCTTATCCTCTTTCCCCTGACACTACTCACAGCTCTAACAAGAGAAGATGAACTTAGGCCCCAGTCGCCTGAGAAAGTGAGAGAACTTTTTCTATAACCACAAGTAGGTTTCCCCAACTATTCCTAGAGCAACACTCAGGTCCCTGGGTTAGAGCTCTTCCATGCAAGGAAAATGTGTTATAAATATCCTCATTTTGTGTGACAATTCTTATACAAATGAAACTTTATGCTGGCATCATGCTTGCTTTTGTAAAAACTAAAGAAGTTTGACAGATATGTAAAAGGATAAAAATCTTTCAACTCCTTGATAAATTGGATTAGCACCTGATCAGTTTCTCAGGCCTGTCCCAATCCATGCAAGTAGATCCCATGGAAGTGGATTTGTAGGTGGAGGCAAGACGAGCCATAGGGGTAGAGATCAACAGAAAAGTGGATTATTAGGACAAAGGTATGTTTGGGGCCTCACAGCTGATGTCCTCCCCGCTGAATGTGGTAGTGTCTTCAGGCTTGTCATTCAACATTTCTTTGTACCGACGTTTGAAGAAGCCAAGCTGTGAGGGAGTAAGTCAGAAAATCTGGGTGAGAGAGAGGAGGAAAGGAAGTTGGAAGGAGGAAGAAGCTGAGAGACAAGAAGAGGAGAAGGAAACTAACTCATATTTGTGTGACAAAACATTTATGGGAACAACAGCTATCATGTATTGAGTATCTACTGTGTGCCACTCACAGTGGTTAGACACATAATCTGTAGCAGAAAAGCGTAGATTCTAGAGTCACACAGATCTGTGCACATACCCTGGCCTCATTTCTGTCTCGCTGCAGCCACTCCGTGGCGTAAGCATTATTATCATTTCAAAAATGAGAAACTGGCACGGGGAGGTCGAGCAGCTTTCCTAACATTAAACGGTAAGTGACAGAGCCACATGTGGGCCCAGGCCTGCCTGACTCCATAGTTTGGGTTCTCACTATGCCATCCTGTCTGTGGGAGGCTTGAGTTGGATGCTGGTGGTGTCAGAGTGGGATGAAACCCTCACCTTGTACAGTGTGACTGCAATGAGAGCCAGCAGCAGCAGACCTCCCACGGAGCTGCCCACAACCAGGGGGACAAGGTCGTGGACTTCATACTCTTCTAGCACCGTCTCCGTCTGATTTGGGGATCAGAAAGTATCAGACTACCCCCAAGTCCCCCAATCTTTAACTCTCCCCCCGCCTTCCCCAGGACCTGCTCCCAGGGGTGAGATGCAGAAGCACTCGCACACTCAGGGACAACTGTCCTGCACAGAGACCCTCCCCCCTCCCCCCTCCAAGCTGCAACCCCCCAACCAGCATCACGGGTTTAGCACCAGCCTGGCCACTGCCCACCACACACTCACTACCTGGGCTCTCATAAACGCCTCCTGTCCTGGAAGCTGGGAGTACGTAGATGTGTCAAAAGTGATTTCAGCCTCACTCACGACCAACACCTTCTTCTGTTGTGTCTGCAAAACAGGGGCATGGGGGGAGCTGTGGAATTAGCTCTGGGGATGCTCAGATTTCCAGAAGTGTCCTGGCTCGAGGATGGGCACAGACACAGCCGGTCCCACCCGATCTGGGCGAGGGGCTCTACTCTTGGGCCTACACACCTGGCTGACCCAGCCGAAGCTGAGGTTGCCCTGCAGGATGAAGTCAAGCTCCTCCTGGATGCCAAAGGAGGGGATGTCACAGCGGAACCTCAGACACTCAGCAACAGAGCAGTCCTAGGGACAGAAAAGGAATGAAGTTGAGGAGGGTCTTCACTTAGGGAGGGACCATTTGGGGTCAAATTTGGGGTGGGGAATAGATGAAAAATTACAGAATGTGTATTACTCTGCAGTCCAGCAGTACATTTCCCCATATCCCCCAATGCGGGCTGGTCCTGCAGTGGGGGCTCAGGCCTTTCTCACCAGCACAGGTCTCCGTTGAATCTGGGTCAGGGAGTCAGACTGCTGGGGAGGCTCCCTCTCTGACACACAGGGGAGACTCTAGTGAAAAAGAGACATACTGAGCCACAGAAGGATCAGCCTTCCCCTGGTTAGAGGGTGTGTGGTACTGTGGGCTCAGACCCTGAAGAGAAAGAAAAGGTGGGCAGGCACCTGAGAAGGGGACTGCACGGCCACATCCCACACAGCCATGCCATTCAGCAGGATGGGAACCCAGAAGTTAATGCTGATGGCCAGAACTCGCTGGCTCAGGTTATTCACCTGCAAAAAATCGAGACAGAACATTATCGTGGTGCCCGGCGCATCCCAAGCCCTGCTTCTTTCCGGGCCCTAGCCTGAGGCTCCTCTCCATCTTTGCCCACCAACTTCCAACTGTATCTGCACCATGGAGGGGCAGACATGGACATTCCCTAGCCTCTCACACGATATCGATGTTCGGCCTCTTTCCTGCTCTTCTTATCAGAAGTTGAAAAGTTGAAGTACTTGGTGGACTCTTCCTGCCTGGAGAGAAAAGGCCTGTTGGTGAAAAATAGCCCTGAGACTGTCCCCAGTTGTGCCCTAGACTGCCACAGGGAGCTTCATTGGGCCTGGCAGATAACCCCAGTAAGTAATGATGGTCCCCTCATACCTCTGCAGCCCAAGCTTTAGCTCCTATCCCCCCACTGTCCTCTGCCCCAGTCACCCAGCACTACCAGCTCTGTCCTTGATAACCGTGGTTCTGTCATACCACCAAGACTTTGCTCAAGCTTTGTCTTCTGCTTGGAATATCCTTACCCACTCCCCTTCTGGGAATTTTCACTTAAAGGCCCAACTTAGACATTGTTTCTCATAATGCGTAAACATTTTCCCATGGGAAAAGGTATTCGTGTTGCTTTCTCTAGTTAGGTACGCGTTTGGCCTCAGATAATGCTTGCAGAGGCTGCGCCAGAGCAAATAAGCCTCAGGGGACTCTCGGGTATGATAGCTGGATCGCTGAGGAAAAAACAGAGTGAGAGCCACTCCACGTGGGAATGAAGAAAATAGATGTGGTCATCCCAGGGCATGTAAGTAAGTGTGAGGAAAGATGGTGGATGAGCACAAGCCCAGGCAGGGGACATGAGAGCTCCAGGCTGCAGGTGGGTTTCTGTCCATCCATCCATCCATCAATGGCTTCCTTAAGCAAACATTTACCATATGCCAGGCTGTGTGGTTGGCCCTGGAGATTCAACAGTTAAGCCATAATCATCTAAGGTCTCAGTAGACAAGCAAAGGGACCTGTACTTTTCACCAGTACCTGGCGCACAGAAGCAAGGCCAGACAACACAGAAACTCCGTGGGCCCCAATGGTTTTCACACTATCAGCAGCTTGGTGATTAAGTACACACAGGCTCTGGTGCCATACCACCTGGGTTCACATTTCAGGTCCACCACTTCCTACCTGAGTAACTTGAGGCAAGCTACCTAACATCTCTGGATCCCTGTTTTTCCTCTTTAAAATAGGGGTGCTAATAATATCCCTACCTGTAATAGAATTGTGGTGAGGCTGGCATGGTGCCTAGCACATAGTGAGTCCTCCATAAACGTCAGAGTCTGTTTCCCCCTTAGCATGCTAGCCTTCCTCTCTGCTCCCCACCCAACCCCTTCTCTCTATGCTTCAGTTTTCTCACTTTAAAGTCTTCCAGTTCTAAACCTTTTTTCAGATCTAACCAAATCACCCAGCTCTCCCAGTCCTCTGAGAGTCATGTAGAATGTGGCCATGGGCACAGGTGCTCTTGATTTCTTTATTGGTAAAAATGGGGATAACAATATAGTTATTGGTTAAATGAATATAGACATAGTTAAATGAATGTAAATATATGCAGAGTACTTAAAACAATGCAAAAACCCCTCAACAACAACAACCAAAAAAAATGCCTGACATATTGTATCTATAACTGTAAGTTCTTACTGTAAGTATTTTCCTAAGGATAAAAGGAGAACTCACCCATGTAGTTTGAAAGGGCAATGACACTGCTTGATCCCCCTCCCTAGTTACCCTAAAAATCTACATACACACAATCAGAAGCAGCAAGAGCAGCAACAGCAGCAACAAACTCTGCCCCATGGCACTATTACAAGCTTCTGAGCAGCCCTGTAAACCTCTGGAGGTTAGACCAATGTGTGAGGTCCCTGGCTTCGCTTCCAGCCTGGCCTGCCCCTGCTCTTCAACCCACCTTTAGAAACCAGAGCTGCAGCCTTACGCTTACATTTCCTGTGGTCTGCCTCAGCCTAGGGCTGTTAGAGAACTTCCCAACAGTATTTCACACCTCTGCCCTCATCTGAATTTTATAGAAACCCGACCTTTCCTTTCCTCTGTGTGGTGACAAACCATATCCTGTTGGGCACAACCTCCCCAATTCAGAGTGCTTAGAAAAGCCTTGATCTCACTCTAGTAGCTTTGCTTCAGCATATTCATGTTTAGCACAAAGGGCAGGATTGGTTTCATGTTAAAGGAAGCCTGCATTTTGGAGGGAGAGGTGGAAGTGTACAGTGGTGGTAAAATGTGTGTGTCCCACCTGCAGGTTCAGATTCATCAGAGAAGCAGCAAGAATTATGGTAGATAGTATTATGGTATAAATATGGCTGGTCACCCACACAAGCATTCCCCATGTGAGGAATTAGGGGGGTAGCTTAGATACCCATCCTCAAAAGAACAGGCGGGACTGCAGAGGGAGATCCCAGGCTTGAAAGATAGTCACAGGTCCAAGGGGAGAGCCAGGGATTAAGCACCTGCTGATCACTGTGTAGACAGCATATTTCACTGGGAGCTCCAGCTGGAAGGTAGTCTTGCTGGTTGCAGGCTTATTATTCTCACTGGAGAAAGACAGGAGAGCCCAACTGGGAAAAAATTCCAGGGCAGGAGTCTCCAGATGGGGCATGAAACTGGAGGGCAAGGGACACACCACACCTAGCCTGGCTCACCTGCTTGCATTGGCCCTAATGAGTAACCTTTCTCCCAGGGTGGCCTTGTAGGAGACATCGAATGTGACTATGAAGATGCTCTGAGGGAAGAAGAAAGAAGGAATGGGGGTAGGGAAGGTCAGAGGGAGTGAAGAAAGGGAATGGGTCAGGACAAGGGAGAACAATGATGAGGTTTTGAGGTGAAGCACTGACCTTAGTACCCTCTCGGAAGATGGGATGATTGATGCTGCAGCTACTGCCCCTCAGGCCCTCATCCTCAGTGGGCACTGCCTCACATGCCAGGTGCAGTGGACGCTGGTGTGGTTGCTTCTAGGGGAGAGAATGAATTCAAAAAATTACCCAAATGCCTATATGGGCTTGATATATAACAATGGTGGCATTGCAGAGTGGTAAGGGAAAGGCCAGATTTACCAATGAATGTTGCTGGGAAAATTGGCCCATACCAAAAAAGAAAGGGAGGGAGAAGAAAAGAAAGTGGATCCCTACCTCACACCATACATTAAAATAAACTTCAACTGGATTAAAGATTTAAATGTGAAAAAGCAAAACTATGACACTTTTAGAAGATAATGCAGGGGGCTATTTTCATAAACTTAGAGTAGGGAAGTATTTCTTAAGACCCACATACAAAAACACTAACTACAAAGGAAAAGATTGATAAAATCAACCACAATCAAATTAAGACATTCTGTTTATTAAAAGGCACTGTAAAGAGACTAATAATACAAGCAATAGGATTGGGAAAGATGTTTGAACACACATGTTGTAGTTTGAATGTCTGCTCCAAAGCTCATCTGAAAGTTGGTCCCCATTGTAACCGTGTTAAGGGGTGAGAGATACAACTATAGCATTTGAAAGGTGGGGTCTTTGAGAGGAGATTGGATCATGAAAGCTCAGCCCTCACAAATGGATTAATCCATTCATGGATTAGTGAGTTAATGGTTTAATGGATTATCGGAGCGTAGACTGCATAAGTATAAGGAGAGGAAGAAAGCATGTGGATATGCTCTCACTCAGTACCCCACCCACCATGTGATACCTGTGCTGCCTTAGAACTCTGCTGAGTCCCCAGCAAGAAAAATGCCCTTTTCAGATGCACCCCTTGCAACTTGGACTTCCCAGCCTCTAAAACTGTAAGAAATAAACTTCTGTTCTTTATAAACTACCCAGTTTCAGGTATTCTGTTAAAAGCCACAGAAAACAGACTAATACAACATGTAACTAGAATAGGACTAGTAATCAGAATATATAAAGAATGTTTACAATAAGAAAAACATGGGTAACCCAGTTGAAGAATAGAAAAAAGACACAGACAGACACTTTCCCCCAGAAAAAATCCAAATGACCAGGAGATATATGAAAAGTTGCTCAGGCTCACTGGAGAAATGTAAATTAAAACTGCAAGGAAATACTATTACTCACCCACTAGACTGACAAAAATTATAAATCTAACAATGCCAAATGTTGTAGTGAATGGAAAGCCACAGGGACTCTCGTACACTGCTGATGGAAGTGTAAACAGGTGAAAATATTTTTGAAAATGGCTTGACTTTACTTACTAGAATTGAAGATACACCTACCAGTGAGTGACCCACCAATTCCACTCATGGTATATACCTTTCAAAATACTATGCATAGGAGCACCAGGATATATACTCAAGAATGGTCATGGCCAAAATCGGGAAACATTTCAAATAGCACTGATTGTAGAATAAATTGTGTTAAAGTCATACAAAGAAATTCCATATAACAAGGAAAATGTTCTATAGACACATGCAACAACATGGAGAAATCTCACAAACATAAGACTGAGGGAAAGAGGCAAGACACCAAAGAGTACACACAACATGTTTCCATTCATATAAAGATAAAATATCGGCAAACTGAACAGTATTATTTCGGAATGCACTCATGGGTGGTGAAACTATGAAGATATACAGGGAAATGATTACCACAAAGTTGGCATAGTGATTGGTGTCTACAACCTTCAGGGAGAGGGTGAGGTTATGATGGGGAAAGGCACATGATGAGACAGCCCCTGGGGATGCTAGCAGAGTCTTACCACAAAGTTGGCATAGTGATTGGTGTCTACAACCTTCAGGGAGAGGATGAGGTTATGATGGGGAAAGGCACATGATGAGACAGCCCCTGGGGATGCTAGCAGAGTCTTATCTCTTGACCTGGATGGGAACTGTAGGGATGTTTGCTTAATATTATTCATTAAACCTTATGCTTTATGCACTTTTCTCTGTGTCTGTGTGTGTTTATATATCATCATAGAAGAAGAATTTAAAAGAACGTATTATAACCCTAGAAGGTACAATAGGGCTGGGTAGAGGCCCCAGCCAACTAGAGTCCAAGGAAGCTGTTTACCTGGGTTCCTGACACCCATCGATAGGACAGCCCTGCTGGGTAGTAGAAGTTAATCACAGTTCCATAGGAATCCTCGCCTTCATTCCACACAGTCACCGTCACATTGAGTTCCAGGGAGCTCCCCACTATCAGGGTCTGCAGGCTGAAGGGAGAAGGACAAGATTGGGAGTGTGACTCCATTGGAAATAGGCTGGAATTGGTTCAGGGGCAGAGGCAGGATTATAGGAACTCATGAGCTATGGTCTGATAACATTCCAATCAAAATCATTCTTGCTAGAAAGCCAAAGGGGATCACAAACCCTTGTCATTCTATGAGGATGGCAGGTTCAGAAGCTTGGGTATGAAAGGAGATAGAGCTCACCCAGAGAAGCTGAGGCTGACACTCAGGTCCCCTTCACAGAGGCGATCTTGGCCACAGTTCTTCTCAAAGGGGAGCTGCAGCAAAAGAGTATATTCTCTTCCCATCCCACGTGTCAATCTTTTTCCAGTGCCCTCATTAGGAGCTCCCATCAACATTGAGTTTTACTGAGCCTTTGCACCCAGAACCCTGCTAGACACTGGCAAGGAGTAGAGGTAGGGGTTGGAATGTAAAAGAAAGATATGACAAGATCCTTGGCTTTCAGGAGCATAAAATTTAGTTGAGTCAAACCCAACTCACACTGGAACAATTATTCAACAAACACTATTAAGTACCAATAATGGGACAGGTTCCGGATTGGGTGGGAAGTTGAGGAAGGTGGAAACTACAGGTGAATTAGACATGGTTCTTGTGCTCAGCGAACCCACAACCCCAAGAGAGCCACAAATGCAGATGCAGATTGTTATGACTCCAGTCATGTGATAATTGGCATTGTATCACTGTGGCATCATGGAGGCCAGAGAAGAAGTGGCAGCTGCTGAGTGTGGTTTCCAAAGAGAGGGAAATGAGAGCGGAGCTTTGGCGACTAGAGAAGATCTTTGAAGTAGAGAGAAGAAGGAAATGTTTTCCTTCTTTTTCTTTGACAAGGACAAAGGCACAGAGGTAGGAATGAGAAAAGTCGACAAGGACCTGCAGAATGTGAACCAGAGAGTTCATGTTGGGGTGGAGTGGGTAACCAGCTGGGACATGTGCAGGGTCCAAGCTAGGTGGGGCCTCGGGAGACGGGTGGGGGTGTTCTGGACTCGATGTGGTTGGTGGGCAATTGGGAGCTACTGTGGGGTCTAAAGCACATGAAGACACAATGAAAGCCTGCACATCCCTGGGACTTCATTGGGAGACTCACAGAAGCAGTGAAAAGGGCTTGTGAGCCCACAGCCAGCACAGGGCGAAGGTTCTGGGATGAGGGGATGGGCACCCCCACCATGGAGAAGTTGAGGCGCAGGACGATGGGGCTCACCACATCCTCCACGCAGTCCTGAGGGAGAAGAGGCTTTCAAGAACCTGCTGTTCTCCTCCTCGCTTTGCACCACTGAGGCTTCTCCTCCACAGCACCCCTCCCCGCTGGCCAGACAGCGCCCACCCAAGCTGTGTAGCCAGGCCTGCCAGCCCCAGTGTCCTCCCCTGCCCCACCCCACTGGCAGAAAGCAGCGATGCCAGAGGCCAGCCATGGGCTCCTCCTCCCGCTCCCTTTCCCAGAACCTCACGGGCAAAAGCAGCTTCACGGTTTCACAGTGATCCCCCAGCCCCAGGGTTTTTCTTCGAGTCAAAGTCGAGTTCTTGGTCTCATCAAAAATGGCACGAGAAAGCAGGTGGCCTGGGTCCAGTGCCAGATCATAGCTGACGCAGCTTTGGACATCACCTGAAGTGGTGGAAAAGGGAGAGGCAGGGAGAACCCAGAATGTTGTTTTTACTTATTCATTTGTGCAATAAACATGAACGGTATCAGCTGCTGGGAATACACGTGGAGAAGACAGACGTGGCCGTCCTCAGTGGCTGTGTCTAAGCGGACAGTGGCTGAGAACCGGAGGGAGATGGAGGCTGGCATGTTTACAAAAAGTGTATCAAGTAAGGGGAATGAGGTGAGGCCAAGAGGCAGGAAGGGGCCAAATCAGAGAGGGCGTTCTAGGGAAGAACTGGGGTCTTTCTAAATGCAAGGGGGAGCCTGGATTTACACTTTAGGACTAAAATCAACTCTAGTTTCTCTGTGGAGAATGTGGGGACAGATGTGGGAACCACTCAAAGTGTAGTTACTTTGGTGGAGGTAGGAAAGAGAAGCAGGCACCTAGAGAAAAGTGGTGGCTGAGCCCAGGGAGATAAGTGGGCCGACGTCACATCTGTCTTGGAGACGGAACCTCCAGGCCCGGGAGGGAGAAGAAGAGGAGAGGAGGGACACAAGTTTCTGACCCCGGCAGCTGGGTAGATGTGGAGGTGAAATTTGGATTGCTGAGCCCATCTGTCCTCAGGATAGCATTGGGGGCCCTCCGTGGGGTGAGGGGTGGGTTCATCTTTAGGGAGGAAACTCACCTAACTGGTCGAGTGAGCTTTTGTGGATAGTGAGACAGACTGTGGCATCCCCAGCTTCCAGGGCTCTGGGCACCTCCTCCCAGCACTGGTACACAGCCTTTGCCACCTCCCCAGGGGTGAATTGCATGGTTACTCCCACCTTCAGCACGGGTGGACTCCTAAGGGACACAAGCAGGGACTGAGGACAGGACACGGGCCTCTGGGAGCAGGAGAATGAGGTGAGGGCAGTGCTGACAGATCAGACACACTAAGGGCAAGGGTAGGTGAGGGGGCCTGTCACCTGAGCAGTAGCACGTGCCCCTGGGCCCCCACGGCCAGGTCCACCAGTCCGTCCTGGGTGAGGTCTTGACCCCCGCTCAGCGACTGCCCAAAATGCTGGAGCCTGGGGGAAAGCTGGGAGCCCGTGATGCGCTGGCCAGAGAGAGAAAGGAGCAGGAGTGAAGGTGAGGGGATTGGAAAGGTTTGAGAAGAGGGATTGGAAAGGAGATTGTAATGAAAGCAGATCTGAGCAGAGAAAGTGAAAAGGAGGAATGAGGGGATAGAAACTGAAATCAAAGTGACAACCTCAGGGACCCCAGACAGAGAAAGGGGGGTCTCTTGATCCAACTCATCACAAGGGTGCAGATTAATGACAAAATAAAAGCATAACTACAGGAATGTAATAGATTCATTTATCCATCATTGTTAAGGTCATTTATAAACATTTGATAAATAAAGCGTTTAGTGCTGCCTTTGGGTATCTTTACAAGAAGCCCCTGGAGTTGGTCTTATCATTTCCATGTTTCATAGAAAGAATCTAAGGCTCACAGTGGATGGTGGTCATTGCTCAAGGCCACACAGCTAGTGATGGCTGGCCAGGCCAGAAATTTGATCCGGAGTCTGACCTCAAATCCTAATCTCTTAACCTTTACGCTGCCCACAACAGATTGAAGTCTGTTTAGAATCAAAGGAGAGAAAAAAGATGATTTGTGCTGAGCTGGGCCTGGTGAGATTCAAGGAAATAAACCACTAAAAGCAGGAGAGAAATGACAACTCCTAAAACTAGAGGCAGGAGGCTGTGTCTGATGGACCCACAACATGGGAGGGAAATGGAACCAGAAGAGGCTGAAGACCTGGCCTCACCTGGCTGGGGGAGGGGTTGATGTCCAGTCCTGAGGCTCCATGAAACACGTAGACAGCACCCCGGTTCTCCTCCTCTCCTGGGGCCCCGATGGCCACGTCTGTCAGCTTGTCCCCATTCACGTCCCCCAGCACTGTCAGAGCTGCCCCAAAGCGGCCCCAGGGGTGGCCCTGCTCCCCCCGAAGAATGACCTCACACCGCCACCTGCTCTGCTGCGCAATGAAATCAGTGCCAGGACCCAACCCGGAACACCCCTCCACCCCACACCCAGACCCACCCGGCCCACCCAGCCCAGGTCCCATCAGACACTCACCCCCCTGGGCATGGGGCACACGGACACCTGGCCCCCTCGGGTCTGCTCATAGTAATGAGGGGTCCCGATGAAGACCAGGTCGGTGCTGCCATCTCTGTCCACATCCACAGAGCAGAGGGAGGCCCCGAAGTAGGAGCCGATCTAGAGGCCAGAGCCCCAAGTCATCCTGCCTGTCCCCACCAGAGGCACCCCGTCCTGGGCCAGGCCCTGCCTCTCCCCAAACACAGGACCTCCCCCCAGGAGCCCCAAAGCCCCTTTGTCTTCTCCTGCTCCATCCCTGGCCACCTGGCCACCCTCGCACTCCACTCTGGCTTCCTCCATGCCCAACCTGGGTCCCTGTGACTTCAGCCTTCGGCCTCCATTGCCTGGACACCTGGGTGAAGATGACAACCTTCCCGGTGTGCTGATGGCGGGGTGCCCCCAGCACCAGGCTTGGCACCCCCTTCCAAAGGGCCAGCTCGATGGAGTAACCTGAGGGGGCGGGGCCTCAGCATAAAGGCCCCCCCCCCCTCCCGGGTAGCCTCCCTATCCCCCATCCCGGCCTTTTCTCACCCAGGTAAGAGTCCCTCATGTCCACATTCTCCTGAGACACGTTGATGAAGGTGGGGCTCATATTTGGGGGATACAGGAAGGCACCTCCAGACCAGCTGAAGCTCCCCACAGCCCCCAGAACTGGGCCATCCTGGGAGAAAAGGATTCCAGGGCTGAGCAGGCCGGAGCGGGAAGACAGCTTATTCCAGAAGTGCCTGCCACCGGCCCCACTCATCATTTGAATTTTTCTTCTCCTTCCCTCCACCAGCAGACTCTGTGCCCCAACTCCCAATGTCTCTCAGTCTCCCCACTGCCACTGTCCCAGTCAGCCCCAGCCCCTCTCGCCCCTGCCCCTTTCTGCCCCCACCTTGTTCTCCTCTGCCCCACCTTTTACTGCTCCAGTGTCAGCTTCCCTCAAACCCAGTTATGCAGGTGCCACCCTGCTGGAAGACCATCGACCCCTAGGATGGCATCTAGGACCCTGCCCAGTCAACCCGTGGAGTTACCCTCTGTTCCCAACACATTAAGCCTTTGGCCGAGACACCTCCCTCCCCTTCTCTCTTGCTGGGACTCAGCCCCTCTCTCGGTAAGAGCAAGCCTCAAAGTCACCTCCTCTGTGAGTTCTTCCTCCACGACTCAGGGAGCAATAGGTGTTTCCTCCTCTGCATACTTTATTGCTTTTTTAAACTTTTGACTATGGATAATTTCAAAGATATACAAAAGTAGAAAGAAATGTAAATGAAGCCCCGAGTACCCATGACCTAAGCCTCAGTGATCCATTCATGACCAAACTTGGTTCATTTCTACCATCCACTTTCCACCAAATTATTCTGAAGCAAATCTCTCTGGATACTTTGAATACACATCCACTTCCAGACAAGTTACGTGTCTTGTGATAACAGAAACAAAGCGGGTGTCTAAACCTCGCCCTGGGTTGAGTCTCATGATCTTGGTGTCAACACCTTGTTCCATAGGTAAGAATAGCTTGTGGTTTAGATCGTGATTCAGTAACTAATGTGTAACTTGCTGACAAAGAAAGGTCAAAAAGCCTGGGAAATGGGCTAGAAAATGCACATAGACATTTTTAGCTTTAGGATGTAATTTGTAATCAATTATAACTTCTGTATTTTTACCCACCAGTGAAAATAGATAACTCCGGAGTAAGGCATCCACCTCCCTATGTAAACTTTCCTATAAAATCCTTTCAGCTTGCAAGAGACTTCGGAGCACTTTCCAACCCTGTTGGTCTGTGTTTCCGGGACTGATTCTCACTCTGGGCTTCTAATAAACTGCTCTAAAATTCTTTTGCCTCAATAGCCTTAATTTTGGTTCACAATTGTCGTCTCTTTGGTCTGCATGGCTGGTCCTCGCCTCTCCAGCCCTCTCGTCCTGTGCTGCCTCTGCTCACTCTGCTCCAGCTGTGCTGGCCCTTCTCTCTCTCCAGCACAGTAACCTTGTTCCTGCCCCAGGACCTTTGCACTTGCTTTTCCCTCTACTTGGAGTGACCTTTCCCCAGATTTTTTCAGGGCTGGCCCTTTTGCATCATTCAGCCTTCTCTGGCCACCTGTCTGTCTCTATCCTAACACTTAGTACAGTCTGAAACCCTTCTGTGTGTTTACTCTCTCCTCCCACAGAATATGTACTCCATGAGAGCAGGAAACTCTTCTCTGTGTGCTCCCAGCACCTAACACACTGCCTGTATGTTACTCCCCCACTAGACGGTGAACTTAAAGACAGGGTCTGCTGTTGTCTATTTCTGGGTCCCGGCTCCCAGCCCAGGGCTCACCCAGAGTGGGTGCCTGAGACCTGTTTATCAAGCACACATTCCACCCACCATTGTGAGCACTGAACTGAAGCCTTCCTGTGACATCTCGTGCTGAAAGGAGCTACTGGTCCTTGATTGGGTTCCTGTGGGGAACAGGTTGCTTAGGTTCCTGGAAGCCATGAGACCAAGAGGACTCAGAGCAGAGGGAGGAGGACGTGGTCTGGGGCTTGGGTTGTGGGGAGCAGTTTGGGGTCAGTTGTGGATAGGCATGGACTGTCAGGACTGCAGGGAACAATTGGGTCAGAAACCCTTCAACTCCAAGGCCCAACCTTTTTCCCATTTACCCTCAACTGCAAAGATCTTCTCCTGCAGCTGCTTCTGGATGCTGCCAAGTGCTGCAAAGTTGTCCACCTCAAACACATGGTCCTGCGGGGGCACCGAGCCAATGGTGCTCAGCTCCTGCTTGGCAATGGGTTTTTTGAAAGCGTCTCCCACCTGCAGCAGAGAGGCAGCTGACGAGGGGTGCCCACCAGCCCTTCACCTGGGTGAGGTGCTGGCTGAATCTGGGGGAACACTGAAGAAGAGGTCGCACCCCAATGGCATAGCGGATGATGCCAGCACTCTCTGCCCGGGGGATGACATCACTGTACTCCAGGGGGTCTTTGTACTTCTGTCCATCTGTGATGACAATGAGGATCTTCTTGGCATTCTCACGGGCCCCATTATTACTATGGAATAGCTCTGTCCTGTCAGGAAAGAGAGGGAGATGACTCTACGGAGATATAATCGATTTGGAAAGACATCATTTGCAGCACCAGAAGCTCATCTGGAGAGGTTGGGGAATCCTGATACCCTCAGACTCTATCTGGCCCATTAAGAAATTGATTCAACCCTTTTTGAAAGCCATATTGGCAATAATCAGCAAGAGCAATAATAAGGGTACTCATGTACTTTTGTTCCTAAAATTCTATCTACTATTGAACTTCATCCCAGGAGGCAATATGGTTCAGAGTAGGAGCTGTGAGGTCAGACACACTGTGGGCAAGTCATTTAACCTCTTTGAGTCTCCTGCTTCTCTCCATGCAATACAAGGATAATAATTGTGCTGTAGCTGGTCTCTACAGACAGCTCCCAATGAACCATATCTGGTTCCCCACCCACGTGGAACCTGGCCTGACCGTGACTCATTTCATCAGCAAAGGATAATAATTGTGCTGTAGCTGGTCTCTACAGACAGCTCCCAACGAACCATATCTGGTTCCCCACCCACGTGGAACCTGGCCTGACCGTGACTCATTTCATCAGCAGCATGCAGTAGAAGGAATACCACATCAGTTATGGGCCTAAGAAGCCTTGGAACCTTTTGCTTTTGTACTTTTGGGAGCCCTGAGCCATGAGAGAAGGCTGGCTATCCTGTTGGAGGCACCCCATGGAGTGGCCACATGGAGAGAGAGGCCCAGCCATCGCAGCCAATCCTGCCTAGGCACAGGCATAGGAATGAAGCTCTCAGCATTCCAGCCTCAGACATCTGACCACAGCCACACAGGAAACCCTATACAGGAACAGCAAAAGAACCGTCCAGCTGAGCCCCAGGATCATGAAAAATAATAAAAGAGTTGTTGTTTAAGCCACTAAATTGGGGGATGATTTGTGAGGCAACACTAGTTAACTGAAACAAATAGTATTAGGTTATTCCAAAGATTAAATGAGGTCAAGTTTTACAACAGTGAATGGCCTACAGGTAAACAAACATTCATTAGGTGATAGCTGTAACAAATGATTAAAAACATAACTATATGCTCATGTAGCTCTATAAATTCAGAACAAACACACACACATGCCAAAAATAATACTGGAAACAGCCTAAATGTCCAACACTAGGAAGGGGGGTTAGCAAGTCATGACCTAGCCCCTTGGTGGAAAAGTGCACAGCCACTCCAAAGGGAAGCAGTAAAAACTGGAAAAGCACGGATCAGGTTTATATGACCTAGATGGAAAAAAAGCAGGATGGAAATAGTCTCTGCCTTGACTGTGACCATATAAAATAAAAGTGAACAAAGATAAGGATGGAAATGGTCCTGTGCTATGCAAGTGGGATTTACTGATTCATTTGTACATATCCCTTCTTTGTCTGGCCTTTTCTGGGGGGTGGCTGGCCGGTATGGGTATTCAAAGCCCTGACCTTGGGGTTCTTGTTACTGAAATACTGTAATGTAATTGACTAAAGGGATTACAGGTAATTTTTTTTTAATTTCTTAATTTTATTGCCATTTTGTCTTTTTTGTAATGAAACTTACAAAGTTTTAATAAAAAAAAAGGAAACCTAGTCAATGGTAGGGAGGGCCATGTAGGGCAGCCCCGGAAGGGGTTGGTTCTGGGGCGCGGGAGGAAACCTAGTCAATGGTTGGGAGGGCCATGTAGGGCAGCCCCGGAAGGGGTTGGTTCTGGGGCGCGGGAGGCTGCTGGGAGGTGAGCTGCGGGGGACAGGGCACAGAGCAGGGGTGGTAAGGGCTACACCATAGGAAACCTAGTCAATGGTAGGGAGGGCCATGTAGGGCAGCCCCGGAAGGGGTTGGTTCTGGGGCGCGGGACGCTGCTGGGAGGTGAGCTGCGGGGGACAGGGCACAGAGCAGGGGTGGTAAGGGCTACACCATCACCCCTGCCTCGTTTATCTTTCCTCCCAGTCCCTACCACTGGGAGAACCTTGAGGGGCAAGGAAGGGACTCCAAGAGGGTGACGCTCCTGTTGACTTTAAATTCATGGGACAAAGGCTTTCCTCTGGGTTGCCCAGTCCCAAGGGCCCAGTGTTCAAGGCAGTAGAGCCACAGAGAAGTAAAGAGGGGGTATTTGGCGGGAGCATGTCTTATTTGGTATGCTCCACCAAATGTCAGCACCACCCCCAGTCAGCGCTGAGCGATCTGGAGGAAGCCAAGGGTCCTGGACCTTCAGCCCAGCTCCTTCCCACAGGAACCACATCCTCTTCTTCTAACTCTGCCACCTAAGCCATTTCTGGGTGGACCACCTGTCACCTCATGCTGAGCAGACACGCAGCAAGCACGCAGATCACACAGGGGACGCACATGGATGCGGATGAGGGGATGGAGGGAGGCAAGCGGGGAGAAAGGCACAAAGAGGACGCTTGGCAGCAATTCCTGAGTCCCTGCCAGGAAGGTGAAGAGGGGCTGTGCTATCCTCTGGACAGAACCTCAGCTGCTTATCCAGCACCTCCTGTGTGCTCTGGCCTGGGCTGCCCACACACAAGATCTCATTTAATCCTTATACCCAAGTTGTGAATTAAACCTCATTTGACAATTTACTGAGACTTAGAGTCAGTAACTTCCACAGTTAACTCAAGCAGCAAGTGGGGAGCCAGGATGGGAACCCAGATGTGTCTGAACCAGAGCCCATACCTCTGGCTGCCCCAGGTGGGATCCTAGGGTCCAGTTTTTCCAGAATCAGGCAACAGGGAAACACAGCGCAGAGGAGTTTGGTCCTAACTCAAGGACAGCTGGCAGCGAGGTGCCAGGAGCATGCCACGGAGGTCTCTGCCCACGTCCCCACACTCCCCCTTTTAGCGGACTCTGAGAAGGGCCTTGCCCACCCAGAGTTAGGATGCAGTGTAGCAGCCGGCCTGGCAGGCGGCAGGGGGACAGCTTACACCACTTTCAGGATGCCCGTGGCCGTGAACGTCAGGCCTTTCAGTTGGATGATGGGATCCACCAGGCTCTGAGGGCTCAGGCTGGTCTGGAACACGGTAAAGGTGAAGTGGACCTTCAGGAGGTTGGAGTACTGCATCAGCGAGAACTGCAGAGGCCGAGGGGAGCGTGGGCTCAGCGGTGGTCACGGTTGCTACTTTTAATAAACCTTTACTTTTGGAATAACTTTGCATTTGTAAACCATTTCCCATGTTTTTTGAGGACATACAAATAATATACTGAAACCCAGGAAAAAGACAACTGGCCCAAAAATACAAAAAAACAAAAAAAACAAAAAAAACTGGATAATCAAAGCCAAAAAATGCTTTTTTTAGTTGTTTACAACGAATAACCTTGCCAACATCGTTTTTTGTTAAACTTTGATCTTTAAAAAATTGTATAACACATGAAATCAATTTGTATATTTCTGCCCTTCTCAAGAATTGGTACCTATACGCCTGCATACACACATACACATCAGTGGCTGGGAAATAAAACGATCAATTGTGAGTGACAAAGGAAACATAGTAAAGAAATCATCAATCATTTGGCTGAGTCGCCTTCAGTCAAATTAAATAGAAAAATAATTTTTAAATCCTTTCAGTGTTTTTAAACAGCAACATTGTATTTCCGGTGGCATGTGGGTAGGTACTAAATGCCGTAGGCAAGGTCAATGCTTCTGATCCCTGTACCGGCCAGCCACCAAAAAAATTAATAAATAAAATAAAAATAAATGCTACAGGGAGCATCCTAGGTCAAGGCTCAAATCAGCCCTGCACTGGGATGACATCTCGATGCTGGATGTGCCACCTCCCAGCTCTATCCCTTCCCAGCTCTGCCACCCCCTCCCCACTCCCCAGGCCTCAGGTGCCCAGTCTTCACCAGGGTGTTGGTGCCCTCAAACTGGCCCATCACAGCTCTGACAAAGTCCTTCATCTGGTCAAAGTCACTTCTGGCAATGCTGCCAGAGCCGTCGATCAGAAAGGCAATGTCCATCTCTTGATTTGGACACTCTGCAGAGAGGGAGGGAGGGAAGAATCAGACGCACGTGCAGGTCCCAGCTGTCTCCTGGGACCCAGAAGCCCTTCCTGCCTGACAGAGACGGGGGGGGGGGGGTTTTTGGCATCCCCCCCCCCCCC